TCTCTTGGTTTGGTTTTGGGTCTGGGGTGGGTTTTTTCTTTTGTTTTTTTTCCCCCTTTTTCTTTTTTTCCCCCATTAAGGATGTAGACAGCAGTCTAAACTTTTTTCAGTAACTGTCAAGTATTATCTGCTACAATAGAGAACAGGCATTTTGCTGCTGAGTTTGGACAGTAGAACATTTAATGTGTAACATTTGAAGACCACTGATTCTCTGTTCTCAAAGGCATATTGCAGCTATTACAATTGACTGCATTCTGCAGATTGTGAAGTTAAGTCATATTATAGGATGGCAAGATCTTTTTTATTGTCTTAAGTTGCCTGTGTTTTTTAACTTGTCTGCCCCTCCTCCTCCTCCTCCCTCAAATCCCCCTCTTCTAGAAACAAAGACTTGTTTGTTCCTTCTCTGCCTGTGAGGTCCTTGCAGCCTCCACTGTGTGGGTGCAGAGCCCCTTATTTAAATGCTTTCCATAGCCATGGAAGGTAAGGAACAGGATGCGTTAGAAAATTGATAAGTCTTAACTCTAATAGATAAATGAAGCTCTTTGCCTTTTAATTCAAAGTACTTAAAAAGAGCTGTGCGTGTCAGGATCATCACAAACCCATGAGGTGGGGAAAAAAAAAGCTTATCTGAGATCATGTTAATAAGCATATTCTTTAGAGTGCAGATTTCTGCAGCCACGGCCTCAGTAAATAACGGAGAATTGAAAATTAAAAAAAAAACCCCAAACCAAACAAAACAACCAAAAAACAAACCAACAACAAAAAATCTTTAAAACCTCCTGTTTTTTCCTGTCACTTGAAATAATATGTGTATTTTCTTCTTTTCATTAAATATTGTGTTGGAAATTACAGAAAATTACATTCTTCTTTCTGTTTCCCTTGAAGATAGCATTTTTGTGTAATTAGCCAAGGTGGCTGAAAATCATTCAGTGTTATTGCTGTTGCTTTTTTTTTCCACGGGTTCTTCACTTGGATATGTTGTTAAGTCGGTAAAATTCAGTTAGTATCTCCTTTTAATGTCCAAATTTTTAGTTTAATTTCATAGTTAAAAATAGTTCCCTACATGAAAAACATCTCCATGGTCTGTTCTGAGAAGACTTTAAAGTCTTGTCAATTTGAAGTCTTTTGCACTTGCATTCTTGAAATAATAAAATGCTCAGAAAAAATCTTTTTCATGAATACCTGAATAAGAATTTAGAAACTAGACTTTTAGGTTTGATTTCTGAATAGCTACCAAACCTTGTAATTAAATTTCCCCCAATATTTATTGATGAATAAATCATGGAGCACATGTCTTATGAGGAGCAGCTGACAGAGCTGGGGTTGTTTAGCCTGGAGAAAAGGAGGCTGAGGGGAGACCTTATCACTCTCTACAGCTACTCAAAAGGAGGTTGGAGAGACATGGGGGTTAGTCTCCTCCCAAGTAACAAGTGATGGGACAAGAGGAAATGGCCTCAAGTTGTGCCAAGGGAACTTTAGATTGGATATTAGGAAGAATTTCTTTGCTGAAAGGGTTCTCAGGCATTGGAAGGGGCTGCCCAGGGCAGCGGTGGAGTCCCCATCCCTGGAGGGATTTAAGAGTCACACAGACATAGTGGTGAGCAACACGGTTTAGTTGAGGACTTGTCAGTGTGAGGTTAGTGATTGGACTCAATGATCTTAAAGGTCTTTTCCAATCTAGGTAATTCTGTGATTCTGTGAAAATTAAGTATACACTGAAGTCTTAATATAGTATGAAATTCCTGTTTCAAATACACTTTTAGTTAGAAACATTACTTGCAAAATGGACATTAGAAGGCATTTCAGGGATCTATTCAGGATGAGCATTAAAATTAAAAAAAACATCAGACAAGAGTGAGTTGTTTCTTATGGTTTTAGTTGCGAAGTCAGTAGATGGGAAGAGTGGAGCAAACTGTGACCAGAGAGAACAGGAATAATAGAAGCAGCTGTCAGAAATATACAGGTGTATAAAATGTGAAGAGTTTGGTGTGAGAAGAAAATTCTTTCCAAAGCTTCGTATTAGTGGAAAAGAGACCGAGGGATGTAATACCTGTGTGGGGCATGTAGGAAAAACACATTCGTAACTGTTGAAGGGAAGTTAGTGATATTGCACTTAAGTGTTTAATTAAGTTTAGAAACTTAATTTTTTATGAGGTTATCTGTAACATGACTTGTCTGTGAACTGCATGCGACAGGGACTCCAAAACCATGATTATGTAGTTGGAGACTAGACCATAAAGGCAGCATTTTAACCAAAAGAAACCTGACATTCTTCAGCTTTGGGTACTTTTTTTTTTTTTTTTTACAAGCTCGGTAGTTTGCTTTTAACTTAGAAGTGCTTCTTTCAGGTGATTGTAATTTTCTAACCTTTGTCCCTTTACTTTCCACTGTAATTAATCTTCCGTGTTGTTTAATAACAGGGTTTGAACCCTGGAACTTCTGAAGGGTAGCACAGACTTCTGCTTGAGTTGCAGAATTAGCAGCAAGAGCAGGCGGCTGGTTTCTGTTGTCCCCTACTAAGCCCTTCATTGTCTGCTTTCAAGGTGAAACAGGATAAGGTATAAAAAGCGAAAGGCACTGTCCTGGATCCGGACTTGATAGGATTCTGTGTAAAAAGAGAAAAAGGATGTATTCCCCTCTCCAGCAGTGTCATGTCTATCTTGTCTGGAGCTGTTAGGTGGGCTGCCTTTCTTTTTGCATTGCTGTCTCTGCTTTCAACTTTGCCTGAATTTGATAGATGTACATAGTCTAATTGCTGTCAGTCTTCCAGCAGAGATTGCCAGTGGAGGTCCTGGAGGTTGTAATTGCAGTGCACTGCTCACATCCTTGCAGGTCAGCTGTTGGTGCTGTTGACACTTTTGCTTAACTGTTTCTGCTGTCTTGGGGCATATGAACCTTCTGTGTCTGTTCAGCCAGAGGAACAAGCTGTCCCATCTCTTCCTGTTGCTGGCCTAGGGACCACAGCTCATACTGCAAAGCTGGTTGATTGGCTCATCATAGTCACTTTCTTCCTGAAGTCAGTTCTGAAGGTGAAGTGATGCTGAGTGTTTTGTAAGACCAGCTGCTTGATTTTAAGCTTTAATCCACAGCTACATTATTTTCCCACTAATTTTTTTTCCCTGATGGGTCAGGATGGGACTTGCAGGTTGGAGTTGAACATCCAGCCCTTTTTATTCACTCGGTTGTTTATACTTTGTACTGGGATTCAGTTTCTATTCCTACTTCACCTGTTCACGAAGAAGTTTTATCTTATTTATGGTCATATATATGAAGCTCTCTCACAGGTAACTACATAAAAGATTATTTCAAAGTTTTTCAAGCTATTTGACACTTGATTTTGTTTTGACTTGGCTCATGAAAATGTGACCCACTTGTCCACTAGAGTGTTAACTCAGTGTTGAACCTATGGAATTGTTGAAGGGGTTGACTAGAGAGTTCAGTTTGCAACTGTTCTGCACCTTTTTTATTTTTCTTTGCCGTTCTTACTGCAGTGAGTATATAGTATTTTTTTTTCCTATGTTACCTCTCAATGGAAAGATGAGCTGTGGCAAAGAGAAAAGCTTCAGAGTAAAGCTATGAAGCAAGAGCCATTTTTAATGCTATTATGAGATAAATATAGTAAGGTTTTCTTGGAACAGAAGAAAAGCACTACTGTACCTTAAGTTGAACATTCAAAAGACGGTGGAGACTGAAGGGCTTTTTGGAGAAAAGATGCTAGAGATTCTTTATGAGATAATTCTCCTTTCTTATGGTAGTTAGAAGTGTTACTGTTCCAGGAATCCTCTATATATGATGAAAACATTAATTCAAACTAAGACAACAGATGGTTTCCTTTGCACCAAATCCCTGTCATCTTAAAAGAAGCTCACTCCTTTTATTTTGTTTTTACTTAGTTACCATAAACCATAATCCTTATTCCCAGAAAAAAAGAAAAAACCCTACCAGTCTTCCATCACAGCTTCAGCAAATGCATTCTGCAGCGTATTGTGAACGTTAACAGATTCAGGCTGTTCCAGACAACAAGATGAAGAGCTAATTCCAAAACTGAAAGCCCCTGAAAATAGTGACCTTGTAATAAATTCAACCCTCCCCAACCCACTTTCGCTGCGGGAACTCCAGTGATTCTGTTGACTTTAACCATACTGGTCTCATGTGGGGGAAAAATAAGGTCTGTCAAGTAGATACATCCCAGTCATGCTTGATTTTATAAAATAAAATTGTCTTAGGTCTTGCTTTCACGGGGGAAGAGAAGATGGGTTCTCATTGTGCATTAGGCATATAAGATGACACTTTTTCTTCTCCACACCCCAGAAAAGATGCATCACATACTTGTGGGATAAAAGAAAATGAAACACTAGCAAAATGTTTCCTGTGTTCATGGCAGTGTATTTGGCTGTATAATTCATTTGCCATTTCTCTACCAGCTCTAATTTTGCATGTCAAGATGCCCTAAATGGGGTCTTCAGTGCTCAAAACTTGATGCGACAAGGATGTGAATAATTGTTGCATGACCAGCATCATACTGGCAAGAATGGTGGCTTTTAACCAAATGTAGTTTGATGTGAGATGATCAGTTTGGTCATTCTGTATGTTCTCGAGTTTAATGATTCTAAGATTTCACATGAATAAGAAAAGTAGTTTTGTATTATTTATGTCTAAATTGAGAATATTTTATTAGGAAGAAGAGAGCGAGATCCTTATAATTAAACTTGAAATACTTTACTACCACATCTGAATTTTTCACCAACTTACACATTTAACTGTTCTCAGAAGCTTTTAGAACAAGTGTGTACTCTTAAACATGAGACTGTTTCATTGATTTCACAGAAATAGCAAGTGCATACATTTCACACTCTGAACATCAGTGTAGCTGCATGTTTTGGATTGTCATGGCTTGTAGTTTTATAAAGTTTTTAATATATGCCTTCTAAGGATAATTGCTTCCTTGCATGTATTTGTTTGAATTTCATTTTTAAATGTCTATTGTTTTGGTTCCTTAGCCATGAATCAGCGAATCAGCCAAAGTGCTCCAGTGAAGCAGCCACCCCCTCTGGCTCCTCAGAGTCCCCAAGGTGGTGTGATGGGTGGGAGTACCTCCAATCAGCAGCAACAGATGAGACTTCAGCAGCTACAGATGGAGAAGGAAAGGCTGAGACTGAAGCATCAAGAACTGCTTCGGCAGGTGAGGCCACAGGTTAGACACCTACTTCCACTATTTCTTTTGTATGTTATGTTTTGTTTTGACTAAGTTGTTATTTCAGTGAGTCTTAAACTCCAGTGACTGTACAAAGAGTTTTGAGATCTAAAAAGGTCTGAATTCATTCTGTTACTGGTAGCAGATTGATAGTGAAAGCATCTGACTTAGCAGACTGAAGGATTTTGCTTTCCTCCCTCATTCCTCTAAGAAAACTCTCCGAGAACAGGCTTCTTTAGATTTTGCTTTCCTCTCGCATTCCTCTTTCTAAGAAAACTCTCCGAGAACAGGCTTCTTTACTGTTGGGATGACATCATGGACTGTTGATCTGATTGGATATCCCTCTTGAGAATGTATTTCATATTCATTGAGTTCTGAGTCATGCAAAAAGGCAAGAAGTTGGTTCCCAAAGCTGCTGTAGCTCTCCCTTTAAGTGGAGGAAAGTCTTTTACTTTTAGAATCTGTCACAATCTGTAGGATTCCGAAGTACTTTTAAAATTTATATAAGATTCATTGAGGAGACACTTTGTTGCTAAAATCTTATCTGTTTAACAGTGGAGTGGAGCATGGAACAACTGAATCACTGATGCTGCATTTTGAATTTGTGGTTTTCTTATGCTGTAGAATTTAAAACTTCATAATTAGGCTGCAAGCTGTTTTAGTATTTTTCCACTATATGAATATAGCTGTAGAAAATGTTCAAGTGTAGGACTGGACACTGGAATCTCTGGATTTTTAATTCGGGCTTGACTTCCTTTTTACTCTAAGCCTTCTGCTTTGGTTTTTCCATCTAAATGTTTTAAGGGTTACTACCATCTGTGCTAGATACTTAGGATAATCTTTGGTTATTTGACACTGCCAGAGAAAGCACTAATCTTTTCTTTGAGGGAAACCTTCTAAAATCTTACCCTGTTCCCTTTTCACTTTGGGTGATGGGCCTTGTATCAGGAGAGGATAATACCTTAATGTCCTCAAAGACAGCTTTTCTCTTTCTTCATCATCTGCAGTATTCTGTCCTGGAATCTGACTCCCGTTATCCCCTCTGTAGTCAAGGCCTGTTTTATAGGAATCTTCAACATCTCTTGGTGTAAGATGGGTCATCTTTACAGCCATTACTTTTTATAGTACTCTAGGTAAGAACACATTGCAAAGGTGGCATCAGGACTTTCTCTCTGCTTAAGCACCTGGGCTTCTGCTGTTCCTGCTTTGCAATTAATCCATCAACAAACACTTTACCCTGTGCTAGCATGCTTCTAGGTAGGCCTTCTGATTGTCTTCTTGCCTCAGTTGTCATTGAGAACCTGACTAACTGTGGACCAGGTGACAGCCAGTTCCCTTCATGTTGTCCTCCCTGGTCATTAAGCTTATCTGTCAAATACGCATCCTTGGTAAACCTGTGAGTTTTGTTTCACTGTGTCATGATTTTCATAGTTTCTTAACTCCCTTATCCTGTCTCATCTGGCCTGTCTTGGGGGCTTGATACTACAAGATGGTGTTTATAAGACAGTCTGCATAGGCAAACCATGCAGCTAAAGTAATTTTTATCCATCTTATTTTTGCTCTTAGGCATTGCGGAATATCAATCCCAGCACAGCAAATTCTCCAAAACATCAGGTAGGCTCTTAACTGATGTTTCAGCATAAGTAGAAAAATGCAAGCATTAAAATAGGCTAGCAGGGGAACTTTTTGCTAAATGAAGGCGTTCTAAAAAAGAAAAACAATCAGGGGAAAAAAAAAAACGCTCTGCCATACACATTTTTTAACCTCTTCTCTGACCACTACCCTAACATTGTTTTTAAGAGTGCTGCATTACCACAACTAGATATCAATATTTAAAAGCAAATTAGGAATTCATTGCACATTTTTCTGCATTGAAAACAACCTTCTTGTTTAGCATTCTTGAGGATACTGCTGTTCCAATCCTGTTGTCATCAAGATGTGTATTTAAAGCAAACCTTCCATTATATCTAAGGTAGTAGTTTGACTTTTACGTACTGTTCATATGAATGTTCTTATCAGTTTGTTTAAGCAGGTATGATCTTAAAGAAGGATATCTGTAATCAGTTAATAAAAAGTCACTTGAAATATTTACTATTTTTAAGCATGTATAGTGTAACAAGTATTTAATATGTTAGACTAACAAAATAACTGCTGTGGGGATATAATATGTGATTATTCTATTTTGACATTTAACAGGCTTCTGCACAGATAAATTTTCTGTATAGGAAACAACAATTCTGAAAAGCCCACCAAGCTCAGACCAAAAGAAAAGTGGTCAAAATTGAAACGTAATAGACAGTTTAGTGCGGACTTCCTTTAGGCTCTTAAGCAGTCGAATATGGAATTAATCTCTGAAAGGGTGGATTTATGGATATGTTCACAGAGCTTCTTGCTATTGCTAACAGTGTTCTTAATCTGCTGGTTCTTAGGACAATATTTATATTAGCTTGTATTGTACTTAGTTTTTCTAAGAAAAAAAACCACTATATGCACTATGCAAGAAAAACAGAATAAAATAGGGTGTTCTGTGTTTGGAAGCCATTAGTACTGGTGTACTATTGCATTTGGAAGAGTACTGCAAAATTTGTATGTTACTAGTTGTCCTGAGAAGATCCCATCTTCAAAGTAGGAACCTCAGGCCTTAAAAACAGTACTGATACCCACGTAAAAATACTTTCTTGTTTGTTAATATCAGGGTAGCTCTAAAACTGAAGCATTTCAATTGGGATGTAGTAATTTCATTCATTTACAGAGCAATATCCACAAAATTATCTCATTGACCAGTAGTAGATCCCTACAATGGAGGAGAAAAAAATTCTTTAAGAATTGCTGGCATAGAAGGGAATAAGCAGAGAAGCACACTCCTCCACACCAGTTGGAAACACCTTATCTTCCACCACAGTTAAGTCATTCAGAAGGGATGTTTTTCTTACTAAATGCCAAAAGTGTATTCTATATTTTCTTGTATGCTTGAAGCCCTGTCATGCAATTGTTCACTATTCCACAGGAATGTCTTCCTGTTGCCAACTCAGAAACATCCAGCAAATAGAGAACTTCGGGATCATTTTCATAGTTAACTCAATAAGATCAGATTTTTTGAATTTCTTGAAATTCTGGCTTAAAACATTAAAAAGTTACAAAACCTCAAAATTATTGACAAATCTTTAAATGTATATGTAGTAGTCACTCTGCTTTGTTTGGGATGGTAACTGAGGAAATGATTTATGCAAAAATCAGGATTCCAGTTACATTTAAACTGGCTTCATACCAGGCTCACCTGTATGCTCACCTGCCTGGGATCAGTTTTATTAGACTGCACTTGCTAATGAGTCAGGCTGTGTTTGAGTGGTCTAGTGGATAGAAAAGTGGGCAATTATGTCAAATTAGAAGTTCTGTAATACTAGACTATTCATATTGTATCATCTGAATGTATTTTTTTGTGTTTTCTTATGTCACTTCAATAATGTAGTGAGCACCCACATGTGGCAGAAGGTGCTTAGAGAACTGCTTCTGGAAATTGTTCTCTAAAGACTTCTAGAGGCCTTGTACTATAGAGGCAAATGTTGTCTGTCTTCTCCAGTGATGCTGCTATTGAAGTCTCAATCTGTACATCCTGGCAGGTCATAGTCCATCTAGTGAATCTGTGACAAATCCACAGAAAGAATGAATGTTTCTTGGGTCAACTTTTTCTTTTTGACAGATCTTTTCTTTCTTTTTTGAATAAAATTAATGAAGCTGAAAGGAATTACCTGCTTTCCTGATGATAAAACTGTACTTGGAGGGAGAAGAATAGCTTCTCTTGCTAAATTTTAAATGTTCTTTCAGGGAATACTGAAAATAAAATCTTCATATGTTCAGTGCTCTTAATTCTGGGAAGACTTAAGTTTATTTTAGAGAGGGATTGTCAAGGTCTTCCATTTGTAAAGAAATTATATGACACCAGCATTCTTGAAGCTTGCTTCTAATGAAGTATTTATTTTCTATGGATTGAAAAAAACCCTGAGAAATATTCCTTAACTTTTAACTGGATCTCTGAGCTTTTCTTAATCATGGAATCAAATAGGTTTGAAGGGACTGGTGGAGGTCATCTAGTCCAGTATCCTGCATGCAGCCTAATCTCCTCTTCCTTCTTGACATTTTTGCCCACAAAACCTGTGTACATGGTTGTATTGATATCTTTGGTCAGGCATTTTTGGTACTGAGTAGTGCACATTGTGTCCTTGCCAGTTTTTGTGTCTCTGCCATGATGCAACAGTATCCTGTAAAGACACTAACACTCAAAGTGTTGCATATGCATTTAAATACCTCCTGGAATGATTAAACAATTACTCAGCTTCATCTTTTGTAGCAAGTGCTGTAAAAGGCTCTTCTTGTTTGAATGAGGATGTCCTTTATTATAGTACTAAAAATGTCCAAGTCAAAAGTATGTGAAACAAAAGTTATAACTTCTCTATTAATTGTGTATAAGGAAGAGCTATTGATACATGCAGGGAATTTGAAAACACCAAGCGTCTGTCCAGTTACTTACGCTCATCATCATCATCAATTGTGAACACCTTAAAGATGCCTACCTGTCTTATTGAGTGACTTGACTTCCTCTCCATCCTCAGTAGCTCTCCTTCCATTTTCCTGCAGTTAGCATCCAGTTGTCAACAATGTCTCACCTGAAGTAGCTGTCAGTCAACTTTTGTATAAGTCATAAAACTGGCTAAATGTTAGGTAACAGATTTCTTGCCATCCAGTATATGATGGAAAGAGATAGAGGCAAATAATGTGCAGGTACTGGTGTAATTATTTTTGGATGTTGTGCAGACTGCTTTCTTGTGCTAAGACTGGAAGATTTCTTACTTCTGTGACACTTATATGAGGGTATTTACTGGTAAGATCAGCACACTACGCAGCTGTTTACTTGATAGGTTCCCCTGTATGTGCTTGCTCATTCTGTGTCTGCCACTTGTTTCTAGCACTGAATGGAGATCCCTGTCTGAGAAGCAGGTACAGCCCTACTTCCTTGCTACTCTGCTCAGTTGTGTTTTCCAACTTACATTTCCCTTATCTCTGTGCTGCTTTCTTGGTAGTTCTGCACACCTGGAATGTGCTCTGTTCATTGTCTCCATTCTTTTGTCCTTCATATTTTATGAAGTACCTCTCATATTCTCTGTCCTATTGCCCCGGACTTATTTCTTACCAACTTCTGAGTGGCATGCTGTAGATTCCCATACTCAGTGAAGAATCCGCAGACATATGGCCAGTCTGTGACTGCTGAATCACTTGGATTTGTTTCTTTTTTTTTTTTTTTTGTATTTGCTCTTACTGCATAAAATGCAAGCACTTACTGTACTGAATAGTTACTGGGTTTGAAATATTATTTTAGTTTCCTATGATTCTTTTTTTAAAAAAAATCATCTTAGTTCGTGTTTGACACCTTTCATCAGCTTAGTCAAGATTTACAGTGTTCCAGGAAAGTATTAATTTCTTAGGACACTATTACTGTTTCTCAATAAAGGGTTTTTTGCAGTCACTTCACATGTATACCAATACAAAGCTGTGTTACTGTCACATTTGTGATATTTTCTAGAAAGTAAGGAAGGCATCATTAAGAACAGTCTTGAATTCTGTATTCTTGAACTTCCATGATGTTAGTGAAACCGGAAATTTTACTGAGGACTTGGGTTTTGGTTTGCTTGTGTGTTTTGTTTTATTATTTTTTTAAATCTTCCATGTAATATGTCTTTAAATAACAAGATATGCTTGCGTTCAAATCTTAGTGGAAATGATGAGCAACAGCTATTTTAGTTTATTAGTGAATACCAGTGTGTTGTCCCTTCAGTCTCTCATTTCCCATCCCTCTGTGTGTTATCTGAAGCTGACCTAGATTAACAAGATAAAAGACTCCTCTTGGTGTCATCAAGAGTGTTGGTGGAGGGGAGGTTGATGTTGGTTTTTTGTTGTTTGTTTGTTTTTTTCAGAGAGATAAGGTATTGAAGTGAGCCATTTGGTCTTTGAACACAACTTTTTTGACCAGTGAAGATATGGCCACTGGTATACAGAAACATTTTTGAAAATTATGTTTACAAGGTGCAGGAAGAAAATAACAAGTTGCAGCAAATTCATAGCTGTATGGTGTCTCTTGGTTTTAATTTGCCTTATTGCTTGATATTTGATAGAGAAAATGGTCTGTGATATGTCTTATTCTGAAGAGGTTCATTATGTGAGAAGTTTTCCGGGGGCTAGCTAAGACCGAGTGAAGTGTCCTTCCAACAAAGTTTTTTCCCATTTAAAATTTTTGCTTCTGATTGAACTTTTTAAATCAATAGTCACAAATAATACCTGAAACTTCTCGTTTTTTTAGAAGTAAATATTGTATCCCTCCTTTTGTTGTGTTTTACTCACTTGATAGCTCTTTTTACTAACATTGAGTTTTACTTTGTTCCTTGTCATTTCAAGTTTCCTATTAGATGTTTCTTTTGCACAATGAACAGAAATTGTTACTGATTTTTTTACTCTCCAAAATCAGTAACAAAATATTACCGGAGAACTGTCATGCAGCTAAGGGAGCTGAGCAGCATGTACAATATCAGAAGTAACTTGAATATTTGAAGGTAGGCAGAAAT